GAGCTACATAAAGGTTTCTTATACTTGACATCAAAAGCACAATTTACAAAAGGAAAACGTTGAAAAATTATAGACGTCCTTAAAATGAAACTTTTGTTCTGCAAAAGATCCTGTTAAGAGGACGAGAAGACAAGTTACATAAACGGAAAAAAATATATGCAAATCACGTATCTGACAAAACAGTGGAACATATATCTACAATATATAAATAACTCTCAGCACTCAATAGAAGACAAGAAAACAAAGTGACAAAAACGCTTGAATAGATATTTCTACAAAGACGACATACAAATGGCCAATAAACACACAAAAAGATGTTCAGCATCATTAATCATTAGGGAAATGTAAATTAAAACTGCAATGAGATACCACTTCATACCCATTAGGATGACTATAATTAACAAAACTCTATGAGGATGTAGAGAAATTAAAACTCTTGTGCACTGCTGGTGATAAGGTAACATGGTACAGCTGCTATGGAAAACAGTATAGCAGTTGCTCAAAAAATTAAACATAGAATCACCATATGTTCTAGCAATTCTACTTCTGGGCATATAGCCAAACAGAATTCAAAGTAGGGTCTCAGAGACCTGTTGTGAACCGTGGGTATTTGTATACCCATGATTCATGACAGTACTATTTGCAATAGCCAAAAGGCGGAAATTACCTTGTGTTCTATAAACAGATGAATGGTTATCAACAGATGAATGGATAAACAAAATAGATATAAAATGGAGTATTATTCAGCCTTAAAAATGGAAGGCTTTGAGAGGCCGAGGCGGGCGGATCACGAGGTCCAGAGATCGAGACCATCCTCGCCATGATGAAACCCCGATTCTACAAAAAATACAAAAATTAGCCAGGTGTGGTGGCACGTGCCTGTAATCCCAGCTACTCAGGGAGGCTGAGGCGGAAGAATCGCTTGAACCCAGGAGGCGGAGGTTGCAGTGAGCCGAGATTGTGCCACTGCACTCCAGCCTGGCGACAGAGCAAGACACTGTCTCAAAAAAACAAAACAAAACAAAACTAAACAAAACAAAACAAAACAGAAGAACAGTCTGATATATGCTACAACATAAATGAACCTTGACGATGTTATGCTGCACAAAGTATTAGCAAAATCAATCTTGCTTCAAACAAATACTGTATGATACGACTTATATGAGGTACCTAGAGTAGTAAAATTCATAGAGGGAGAAAGTAGAATAATGGTTGCCAGGGGCTGGTGGGGGGAACAGTGGAATGGGGAGTTATAGTTTATTGTGTATAGAATTTCCATCTTCTAAGATGAGAAGAGTTTTAGAGATCAGATGCACAACAATGTGAATGTACTTAACACTACTGAACTGTACTCTTAAAAATGATTGTGAGATAAATTCTATGTTATTTATATAACAAAATTTTTTTAAAAAAACATCACAATAGTAAAATAGCAAACAATCCAATCAGAAGATAAGCAAAAGATACAAAGAAACATTTCTTCAAAAACTGAACACACAGCTACTACAGGACCTAGCAACTGTACTCCTATTTATCCCAAGACTTAAGTTCGCATAAAAATCTGTATATCGATGCTTATATCTATTTAATATCCACTATATACTTACAGGTAGGAGTTACAACTACCACCATTTTTATAGATACAAAAAGTGCAGCTCAGAGAAGTTAATAGTTAGTCAGGGTCACATATATACTAGGCAAGTAGTAGCATCATGACTCAATTTTAAATCATAATTCCAATGCTAGGAGTTTGAAGATCCCATTTGGTGGGTGGTCTTACAATACTTTAAAAAAGTCAGAAGATAAAAGGGAAATTTCATCTTCATTCATTAACCATTTAGCAACACTTACTTTGAATATCGAACCATTGGGGCACAGACTTTTACCAGCTGTCCAGAATGAAACATTTCTATGGGATCTTTTCTTCTTTCTTGACATATTGTGGTTTGTATGCAGTCGCTCTTCATTAATACAGATTTGTTTCAAATCTGAAAAAGACAGTAAGCTTGTATAGAGAAAATATGCTTTCACTATGTTAATTCCAATTTAACAATTTCCACTACCAACAACATGTATTTTTCATCAGGCTTGTGAGGTCAGAAATTTTTTTATTAATAGTTTCTTTTCACAGTAGCCAATATGATGCTACAGAATGCTGCCTCTATCTATAAGATAAATATATGTAGAAAACTACACAAGATAGTGGTGAGAAAACCAGATGTAGAAAACAAGATTTTTTTCCTAGTTTACCATGTTGTAAGTTTTCATGTTACTTAAAAATTTTTCACATTACTTTGTTGGGATTGGTAAACCAAGAAATTTGTTTTGAATTATTTTATATATAATACTCTATATGACTGGCATTTTGCAATATCTTGTTTTATTCAGGAAAGTTAAACGGCATTTATAGAGCAACTCTAACTAGTCAGTGTATCAAAAGATATCCTGATGTTTTTATTCTAATTCTTGAAACCTGTTCTGTGAATCAGAAGATAAACACTTATTTTTAAAAATTTTAATGTGGTATTATCTAATGAAAATTTCAATTATAATCCTATAATTGCATTGTAAATCAATTTTATACCCCAAGAGGTACAGGTACAAGTGATGAAATTAGAGAGTTTATAAATGTTTTATATTTGCCATACTTAAAATCCTACCATTTCAGTGTTGGCTACTTTTCATATTCCAGTTTTTGGCCTTAGTAACTTAGTAAAAAGAAACAGGTATGTCTGAAGGAAAAATGAAGCAGAAAAAAATAAAAAATAAGAATCAGATATGGTTCAACTTTAGAATGGTCTCAAACTTTCCAGTCTTTATCCTTCAGGCAAGGAGTTGAAACTAAAAACAGCTAAGGTACTTAAAAATGTCAGGATCTTGCAAGAAACTGCTGGAAGCACCAATATTTAAGTAACAGAGGAAAAGGGGAGAGCAAAAGAGACTGAAGATGAACTTTGGAGCTGGGAGGAATAAACCTAAAGAGTGATACTCAGAAATCAAGAGAGAGACTATTACAAAGGAAGGAGAGGGTAGGTATCTTAAACATCACAGACAAGTAAGGCAAATACAGAGTGTGCAATGGCAACAAGGTCATTAGTGATTTTAACAAGAATTATTTCATTTTTATCCACTCTTTCATTCATAGTAAATGACATACAGAGGCCTCGCTCAATATTTATTTGATGAAAGAATAAATCAGTAGCTTTCAGGGCTCATACCTGTAAACCCAGCATTTTGGGAGGCCAAGGCAGGAGGCTTGCTTAAGGCCAGGAGATCAAGACCAGCTTGGGCAATATAGTGAGACGCCCATCTCTACAAAAAAACATAAAAACTAGCTGGGCATGGCAGCACATGCCTGTGGTCCCAGCTACTCCAGAAGCTTAGGCAGGAGGATCCCTGGAGCCCAGGAGGTTGAGGCTGCAGTGAGCCATGATCCTGCCACTGCACTCCAGCCTGGGTGACAGAGCTAGACCCCATCTCAACAAAACAAAACCATCAGTAGCTTTCAACCTTAGCTGTACATTACAATAACCTGAGGAGCTTTTAAGACTCAGGATGCCCAAGCCATACCCTAGGCCAATTAAATCCAAATCCCTGGGCTCAGGTGCAGGCATCAGTGTTTGGTTTAAAGCTCTTCAGGTGATTTCAATGTGCAGATAAGCTTAGAACTACAGGAATAGGTAAATTCAAAGATTCCATAGCACCTGGTACAATTGTTTGTTTAAATTGGTTCCTAACTTACTTATTGGCTCCTTTTACGATATGGATTGAGCCTTGCATTTGTAAACTCCTGTAGTATGCGGAGTGGGTGGGGGGGAGTGTCAAAACTGTCGCTGTATCAATTATTATCACTCTTCTAAATCTTCCACTGTGGGGTATAAAAAAGCCAAGGGAGGAAAAACAATCCCTAATTCACAGATAATGAATGAATCACTCCTATTCCCATCATGACTGAGATTTAACATACTAGGGAAAATCCTGAGATAAAGTCAAGAGAGCATAATGCAGTGTAGCATAAGACTTGCTTACCTGCGGTGTTATGAGTATGAAATGCATTTAGATTTATAAAATACTTAGAACAGCGTTAAGCACAGGATAAGTAATACGACCTTTTTGAAACAGAATGTAGAAAACCACGTAGCTCTGGAATTGGACAAAATTGGTTTCCTGGATACATACCTATTGCACAAATGGAAAAGTCATATTACAGCTTCTTTTTGCTTAGAAGCTTAAGACTTTATTGCATAGTTGTGGTTGACTAATCCTGTTAATTTATCAGTATTTATCTTAGAAGAAATCTAAGTCGAAAATGCGGATGTATTAGCAGAGAAGATATAATGGGAACCAACCTGATGCTCTCACAGCGTCAATACTGTTAAGTGAGGTATGGGCAACCCACCAGTTTGTAATTAAGAAAAAGTCTGGCACGTTGCTCAAACTGAGAGGAAGAGGTAGAAAAGGCAAAAGGTCAAAGGTCTCGTGGGAAGGAAGGAGAGTAGAGACAGTGAGTTTTATTTGTCCTTTTATGGTTCATTCTTCCTTCTTCGTCGACTCTCCCTAATTCTTTTCACTGTTCATCCCCACAAACTTTTCTTCCTAAGCATTTCCTGCGGGCTTTTATTATCCCAGGAGTGCCAATCAAGCGTGGGACAGATAAAGCTATCTAGCAACTAACTCCTGACTCCTGTGAGTGTGGAGGGCAAACGAAGCTCCCTGGTCTGCTCTCCTGCCCTACACCGCGCGGACCCTGTTCTGAGGTTTAATACTTGCTTCACAGATAAGCGCCGCGGCCACGTTCCGGCGCCCACCTTCTCCTTGGCCGGGGCACTAGCTGCTGCGGAAAGCGCCAGCCCGACAGCCTTGGCTCCCTCGGTGCGCTGGGCGCAGAGCACTGGGACCCTGGGAGCCCACCGCTCGAGTACCCACGGGGCTCCTAGCCAGGATTGGCCCAGTCGCAGCCTCAAAGTCAGTTCGCCAGGCCGGCATTAAACCACGGGTTGGCTAGGCGGGCGGCGCCGATATTCTGCGTCACCACCTGGGCGGGGCCGTTCTGCTGCTGACGACATCAACCCGGCACCTGCCAACATGGAAGGCAGCGATGGCAGCGTCGCTGTGGCTGGCCTCGGGGCTCGAGGCTCTGGAGCGGCTGCAGCGACAGTCCGGGAACTTCTGCAGGACGGTAAGGAGACGGGGTCCGACCAGGTGGTGGGGCTGCGAGACTGCTCAGCTCCGCACCTGGGCAGCAAGGTGGACCCAACCCGTTGCTTTGCACAAAGTTTTCCAGTCTGGACGTAACCACTCCCCTCCGCCCGGCCTCCAGTTGTGGGTACTGTTCTAGCCAACCTGTTTCCTCTGGGACTTTCTCCCTGTTTTCCAGTGTCTTGGGGACACCTGGTTTTTGTTGCTTCACATTTTAACTCGACCCCCCCCCCATGCCTCCAGCTTCCCTGAAGTTTCGGGAGCCTAAATCCTGTGGCCCGCGTTGGCAGCCACCAGCTGCTACAGCAGTTCTTGACGAAGGGGTGTAGCGTTCGAGCTCTTCAAAAGTATCTAGAACAGACGAAAGACGCATCATGAAATAGGGGCTTGTTTTAAAGTAGAACTGGAAATGCCCACTCTTTTAACAAATGATCTGTCTACAGGTGACCCCTCTTGCAGGCTTTCCCCGTCCCCGTTCTCTTTCCCGTCCCCGTTCTCTTTATGAGGCACTTATCCACAATGAGACGGGGGAGGTTTCAGGGAATTGATTCAGATTGGGATTAACAATTTATACAGAATCTAGCAGTCAGATTTATTGCTAGTCTGTTTGGAGAAAAGTTGCCCAAAATAAGAAAAGTTAAATACTTGAAAAGCATATTCAGTTGTCAGTCCAGTTACCATGTCCCGAATCTCTTATCCTTCAGAATAAAGTTCAAATTTATAAGCATAAACCTAAAATCCTTCTCGCCTGTTCTTAATTTTTTTCTCTAGTGGCCATCGCATTCTACCTTGTACTGAAATCATTTGTATACTTGTCTTAATCTTTTCTGTATTGTGAACTTTTTTTTTTATATATCCCACAATGTGAATAGCAGTATCTTAAATACAGTAGGTGCAGAATGTTTTTTAAATTGAACGTTGCAGTTAGAAGCACATACACACATTTGAAGACCCAAGTGGATAATAAATGCTGTGAAGTTCTAAATTACTGTTTATTTTCTCTGACTGTTGAATATTTTATTGTCGTCCCAAATTACATGTCTTCTCATGATAACTTATGTACTTTAGTCAAAACTAATGATGTTGTTTTCTGAACTATTTTGTGTTAGAAACTCTAGATCACTCTGTCTAATCCATCCTTGTATCTTAATTTAAATTCAGTTTAACCAAAAACTTGGTTAAACGTTTTTAACATTGACAAAGGGGTGTGACGTTCAAGTTTAACCAAAAACTGAATTTAAATTAAGGTGCAAGGTAGAGACCCTAATAAATTTGCAGCTGCTCCTGATATATGTGCAATTCTTGCCCTCAAGTAGTTCACCATCTAGTAGAGGAAATCAGTAGAACTGTAAAGGTAGGTGCTGTAATGTAAGTGATGTAAGATAGCAGTAGGATTGTGTATCAAGTAGAGCATTAATACAGAGGAGAATGTTAACTGGGGGTTGGGAACTGGTTAGGAAATGTCAGAAAAGGCTTTCTAGGTGAAGTTGTTTTAAAGTGTAGCTAGGACTTCCCCAGGTGAACAGTGGAAGGGACAGTACAGGCCAAACAATGGATATATGTTTCAGTAGGATGCATTTCAGGAATTGTAATCAGTTCTCGGAGGGTACATAGTCTTCAGTTCTGCCTTGTGCATTTTTCTTCTTGGTTCTCTGCTATTCTCCACAGTAATTATTTAAATATTCCTTACCCTTTTCAAACCTCTCCCTTCAAGCTCAACAAATGACTTTCTGCTTCCCCGGGGTTAAAAAATGGATCCATCAGATGTGAACTTTCTCCATTTGTTGCCCATCAAACCTATAATTTTAACATCAACCTATAACCATCCCGTGCTCCTTCTTTCCCTTGCCTTTTCAATTACAAGAGAAATGAAGTCTCTGCTCCGTTCTAAGGAGAGTCCCTCATACTTTGCTCTGGATTTTTTCTTCCAGTTTCCTAGGGACTCAGTTACCCTCAATCTATGTCATTGAAATAACTTTGCAAGGTTTCCAATGACTTTCTTGTGGTTACGACAAATGGACACCTTTTTGGTCCTTACGTTTAACTTGTAATAGCATTTGCTGCGTTTCTTGAAATACTTTCCTCGTGTGGTTTATGGGTGCCATGTGTTTTAAAAATTCTCTATTCTCTTAAGTGCTCTTTGCCAGTTTCCTGTAGATAACTTGTTAGTTCAGTTTGTCCTGAATTAAATGCTCTCTGTTGCCCTTCCCACCCCTAACTTTCCTGAGGAATTAAGTATTTCCAACAGAAACTGTGATTTACTATGTCAGGGATTTGGCCAGTGACAGAGTATCCAGTTGATAGGCTTGGTGAGCACAGGTGTATGGTATGAAAATTGGTGAGGTGTTTCTGGTGTGCCTCGTATGGGAATGGGGAAACTACGTTATATATTTCATCTCTTTAAGGGCTGTCAGTCCCCAAATGCCACATCCCATGGCCAGTATTCAACTTTCATTGTGTTTGATCTTTGGAAGCTCTACGACGCTGCTACTACCACTTACTTTCTTTAGGCTATCCCTTCTTTTGGCTTTTGCCATTCCTTTTTGTTTCTCTTTATCCCTGAGCACTCTTTAGTCTCTTTGATAGCTTTCATTTTCTCTGTTCATCCCCAACTTTCCTGTCTTTCTCATTTTTCCTTTTTGTGCATTCTAAAACTTTTTTTTCCCTGAATTATCTGGTCTTTTCTGTGGTTTCAGTATGATCCTTACCTGTCTTCTGAAGTATAAAACTGTATTTTTAACTACCTACTGGACATTCCTATCTTAATAATTTTTATGATATACTGTTCCGTAACCTGTATGGACATTCCTATTTTGACAGTAAACAAGCATTGCTAGTTCTATAATATGCATGAAAACCTACATATGAACAAATAGTACAAGTTCTAGATATGAAAAAATGAATTCTTTTTTTCTATCTTCTCTCATAATCTTTTCCTATGGTATTCTGTTATCTGTGTTTACTATGTTGCCGGATAAATGTGTGTTTCTTCCCCTTATAAATTATGAATTCCTTGGAGGCAGAGGTTTGTTCATGTTCATCTTTGTATATTCAGTGCCTAGTGGTCTAACTTAATGTAAAACTAAATTTCCTATATCAGTTACCTAATCAAGACATTTGGGAATCATCCTTATTTGTTTTAATCACCCATTTTCAGCTAAGTCCTACATCCTGTGCAATGTGAATATTTGTCAAATTTGTCAGTTTGACATTCTTTTTTTTTTTTTTTTTTTTTTTTTTTGTTTTTTTTTTTTTTTTTTTTTTTTTTGAGACGGAGTTTTGCTCTTGTTACCCAGGCTGGAGTGCAATGGCGCGATCTCGGCTCACCGCAACCTCCGTCTCCTGGGTTCAGGCAGTTCTCCTGCCTCAGCCTCCTGAGTAGCTGGGATTACAGGCACGTGCCACCATGCCCAGCTAATTTTTTGTATTTTTAATAGAGACGGGGTTTCACCATGTTGACCAGGATGGTCTCGATCTCTTGACCTCGTGATCCACCTGCCTCGGCCTCCCAAAGTGCTGGGATTACAGGCTTGAGCCACCGTGCCCGGCCCAGTTTGACATTCTTAGTGCCACTGTCTTATTCAGGCTTTCATTATGTCACTTAGGCTGTTACCATAGTACTTTACTGGCTTTTGTGGTTCCATTTCTTGGGTATACTGGTAAATTGGCTTTGTGGGAAAATAGAAAACGCCCTGATTTTGTACTGTGTGCTGATTACCATGGTGTAAATACTCTGTCATGGATTTTAAGATACCTATGTGAAAGGTCAACTGGCTCACAGAATTGCTGAAAATGTAATAGTCGGCGCTCAAAAGGCAACTGGAGCACATTGCTGTGTGACTAATCCGTTTTCCATCTTTTATACTGCTGCCAGGATTATTGTTCTGGAACACAAAGCTGATAGTGCAGTTTCTTGAGTTAAATGAGATATGGTTAAACATTTTGAGTATATTATAAACCACTTTTCAAACGGCCCTCCAACTTTTGGAACCACATCTGTCCTTTACTATTTTTGCCCAGTATACATGTGCTATGATCTAAACACACTGAAATCAGTATTCCCCTTATTTCTCAAAACATGCAATGGCATTTGCTACTGCTAAACCTTCCTTTTGCCTGGAATGGCTCTCTTCATTTGTCTGGCTGACAGGGTCCTTAATTATGAGAAGCACTTGGAAACTAGAAGGAAATGTGGTTCTCAGAATTAAAAGTAGTCAAAGTAGCAGCTTCCTTTTTTCATTCCGCTACATTTTGAGCGTAATCAGGAGTAGGAGCTTTTACTTTTTTTTGTTGTTGTTGTTGTTACCAGAATGATACTATCAGCGGATGTATTGATTACTTAATTCATGGAACCTGCCACTGGAGATGAGGTAGTAAACAAAACAAAGACCTTTTTCCCCTCACTGAGCATACATTATAAAGGATATAGACAATTTAAGTTTTCTTATAAGTACTCTATTTTGCTTGTTTCATAATCTCTCTCAGGGCAGTCTTACTGTATCTACTGTATCATTAGGAGATTTGGTAGGTGGTTACCTTGAGCTTATTACTTCTGGGTATCTATTTTTTTTCTTTTACTTCTTTGTTTCTGGGTATCTATTTTTATCTTTTAATTCTCTTAATTTATCTTTCATCCACAGATATGTGGATTTTTATATTAAGGGATATCTTGTTAACATCTAGCATTACTTCTGTTTCCCATCTAGTAGGGGCCTATTTTAAACAGCCTTTCTTTCCATTAACATATTTTACCCATAAATCCTAAATTTCAGTTACACCTATAAATCTGTGCTTCCTATTGTTAAAAGTCCAGATTCACTTTGCTATAACAGTATTTATGCATTGGTCTAGAGATATCTGAGGCCATAAATATTATATATATAGCCAATTTTCCTGTTGTCTTTTCACTGACAATAATCTTGTTTTCTTTGGTTAGTAGTAATAGCTTGTAGTTATGTTTTTAATCTCTTTCTCAATGTTGTACTTCCTTTTGAGTCATGATAAAAATTAAGCATTAAGCAGTATAGAGGAGTGGTTCAGAGTATGGGATTAAAATATGTTAATTATAATTTTTCTGTTGTTTAATAATTGGTTTAGGATAGGGTATTTACGGACTTTTCCTTATTTTTCCCTTAATCCAGAGTGTTATAGTGACTTTTTAAATGAAGACTTTGATGTAAAGACTTATACTTCACAATCTATTCATCAAGCTGTAATTGCTGAACAACTAGCAAAACTTGCCCAAGGAATCAGTCAGTTGGACAAAGAACTACATTTACAGGTAATTCTGATCTTCAGGGTCCCTATGGATTATTCAGCCTAAAGTCATGATTTAGCATTTTTGTAATCTTCTTAAATATAAATGCATATTGACATGAACAAGCATCCTTACCAGTGTGACTTATTTTTCAAAGTAAATATTTGAAGTTTTCTGTAAACCCTTTTTGTTAGTTGAAAAACTAATATACCACTTCACCACAGCCTTTCATTTATACTTCCTGTTCACCAACTTAACTGATGTGCAACGAATATAGTGGGCAAAAAATAGGATGTGTTTGATAAACATAATGGAAAATGGAATTTTGGAATTAATATGAATAAGAAAAATTGGGATGTTATATTGGCAAGTCATACTTTATGAGCACGAAGTGTAGCATTTGCCGAAATTACAGAAAGTTGATAAGTGTTACTGTGAGTAGGATGCACTATGAGAAGTTAGGAGATGGGTCCTAATTTCAGCTATGCTGTTAACTGACTTTAGTATCACTTAGTGTCTTTGAGTCTTGCTTTTTTGTTTGTTTTTTAATCTATCAGATGGGTGGAAATAAGCAAGAGGGAGAGGAGATTATAGTAGATAACTTTGAAGATTCCTTCCTCTCCTAAAATTCTGTAATTTTTATAGGGTGATTTTATGGTATAATTTCTAGTGTTGCCTTTGATTGAGTAGGTATTTAATACATAGTTAAATGAATGAACAGTGTATGAAACAGATTGTTTACCTGGAAACATAGATTTGGTATAACCTGAGACATATCCACTTGATCTTTTTTGTGTCCTAGTTTCGTCGAGTGGCTTAGTAGGACTGGGATGACTTCTAAGGTCATTTTAATTTTAAACTTCTGATTATGTATAATTGTATTTCAATCTTTATTGACAGATGTTTAGAAAACACATTTAGTTGTCAAGCTTTCAGTTGGACTGTGGGGATAGCCAAATAAATAGAATACGTTTCTTGGCTCTCCAAGGACCCACAGACCAGTGGCAGACGTAGACAGAAATAATGGCAGGCAAATGAGGCCTGTTTTAAATAATTAAGTTGTTTATGGGAGTATGGGAGAACGTACTCAGTTCTGCCTAGAGTTCTAAGGGGATGGCTTTTTGCAAGAGCCGCCTGAAATCCTTTCAGTCCTTTTATGCTTGGTATTTTCCTTATTCCTTGTATGCAGTGTCTTCTCTGCAAAAATCAGTAAGAACTTACAATGTATTTACCATTTCTTAGAGGGGAGAAGTTATAGTAGCCTGGGATGTGAGACAGAGGAAGTCTCTAAGTCCCAGTAGTCTATATCAGCGAGGTGACTAAATTGTAAAATATTTTTTGTTAGGGGTTAGCACAGGAACTAGAAATCACTCTAGGTATTTAGAGCAGAAAGACACTTTATACAGGGAGTTTGGATGCTTATAAAATTGTTGGGTGAATAGCTAGTGGACGGAGTTAAAGGAACTACCACAGATGCAATACAGAGGCCTGGAAGTACCTTCTCTTACCACCCATGCCAGTGCTACAATTCTACTTCTAGATACCTAATGACTAAATGCTGGTGTGGTCAATGTGGTTCTCTTAACTGTCTTTAAATTCTCGGGTCTCAGGATCTTTATTACTAGCTGAAACAGTAAACTCTCTCTCTCCTCTCTCTTTCTCTCTCCTCTCTCTCTTCTCTCTTTCTCTCTCCTCTCTCTCTTCTTTCTCTCTCCTCTCTCTCTCCTCTCTCTCTCTCTCCTCTCTCCTCTCTCTTCCTCTCTCCTCCTCTCTCTCCTCGCTCTCTCCTCTCTCTCTCTCTCTCTCCTCTCTCTCCCCTCTCTCCTCACTTTGTCACCCAGGCTGGAGTGCAGTGGTGCGATCTCCGCCCACTGCAGCCTCCGCCTTCCCGGTCAAGTGATTCTCCTGCCTCAGCCTCCTGAGTAGCTGGGACTACAGGCATGTGCCACCACGTATGGTTAATTTTTTTGTATTTTTAGTAGAGACAGGGTTTCATCATGTTGGCCAGGCTGGTCTTGAATGCCTGACCTCAAATGATCTACCCGCCTTGGCTTCCTAAAGTGCTGGAATTACAGGCATGAGCCACCTTGCCTTGTCCAGCTTTCCTCTCTTTTGTCTTCCACAACTCTTGGAAAAATCATTTAATTGGTTGCAAGGGAGTCTATGAAACTATAGTTTTAGGCTTTTTAACCTCACCAAAGTATTACAAGTGATAATGGAGAATAGAAAATTTTTAAAAAAATTAGTCTTGTTAAGATGGACATATTGATAACCATATTAGTAGACTGGGGAAAATTCAGACATCTTCTGGTAACCTTACAAAAAAAGACCGAGGTGACCAAGAGTAATACTTTAGGTAAATATGATAGAGAGACTTGACAGAATGACAGTGATATCTGAAACAGGACAAAGTAGAGGATTTATCGGTTCCAGTGAATTAATCTTTGGTGATGGAAGAACTTCAGTCAAAACACTAGACATGAAACCTTGTATTCATTGGAATAAAAGGCATGAAATAATAAAGATTCCTGCATTATTCTAAAGATTTGCATGATTTCGTGATGTTTCTAGGAATCTCTTGCATGTGCCCTTTAACTTTTAACCTTTTTGGTTTTTTGTTCTGGCCATCTCCAGTGCCCTAATTCTCATAAAAGTATCAAACTTCTATAGGGAAAAGGATTTGCTGTGGGGGTGTGACACTGGGAAACTGGAAGCAGAGAGATGTTCAGGTATAGGGAGCACTGAGTGCTGTATCTTTTCAGATTAGGATGCGGCCTTGGTGGTGCTGAATCAAATTCAACAACAAAGAGAACCTGATGTTTGAAAATAATGTTTAAAGGGAAAACATAATACTGGTATGGCATCAGTGAGCTGTTTTTTTACATTTTTTGGCATAACTCCACTTGCACATCTCATTAAGATAGCCAGCGGCTTGTTATGGTCTGAATGTTTGTGTTCCCCTGACATTCGTTTGTTGAAACTTAATTTCCAATTTGATAGTATGAAGAGCTGGGGGCTCTGGGAGATGATTAATGCCCTTATAAGAGAGGCCCAAGGAAGCTTGTTTGCCCCTTCCACCATGTGGAGATAGATACAAGGTACCATCTATGAGGAATGGGTTCCCACCAGATGCTGAATTTGTTAGTGCCTTGATGTTGGACTTCCCAACCCCTGGAACTGTGAGCAATAAATTTCTTTGGTTTGTATGTTACCCAGTCTAAGGCATTTTGTGTCTGCAGTCCAAACAGATTAAGGTAGGGCGAAGAAAAGGCTTTATCTCCTCTTGATCTGTGTTGAGCTGTAAATGTATGTGTGTTTCTGCTTGTAATTCATCTCAAACACACCTTAATAACGTGTTTTTTTTCTTCTGCATTTGTATTTGCCCCATTTCTACATCAAGAGTGACCTTCAATTCTACATTGTGGTTACAAGGAAAGGTACCTAATAGAGCAAAAGCTAATCATTTATTTTTGCTTTTCAGGTTGTTGCAAGACATGAAGATTTACTGGCACAAGCAACTGGGATTGAGTCGTTGGAAGGTATATTTCAATTAACTGCTAGAGATTATGTAGAGGTAGACCAGGGATTGGCAAGCTACTTTGGATGGCTAATATTTTAGACTTTGCCAGCCATACAGTCTCTGCTGCAACTACTAAGCTCTGCCATTGTAGAGTGAAAGTAGCCAGATAATATGAAAACAAATGTGTGTGGCTATGTTACAGTAAAACTTGAGTAAAACTTTGCTGGCCCCTGAGCTAAATGATCTGGGTTCAAATCCTTGTTTTACTGCTTACTAGATGTTTGACTTTAGGCAAGTTGGTTAACCCTTCAGTGGCTAAGTTTTCCTATCTGTAAAACAGGAGTATAATATGTACTAACATAGCATTTAAATGAGTTAGCAAGATACTTAGAACAATGCCTGCACATATTTAGTGCACCTGTAAGTGTTAGTTAATTAAAACTAAAACGTCAGCAATACCAGAGTAGGTAGCAGTGGAAGGAGGCATGAATTTTTTTCTTATTTTTGCCTTTCTTGGAGCCTTTTTTTGCAATTCTTTTTAGTGAAAGTATAGTCAAGCTATATATAATTAGATTTTTATTTTTATATATCTGCTTATTTTTGTTGGGCTAAATCTTTTATGAATTTTTAATTCCCTCTTGATTAAATTAAACTACATCTCACAAGTATGAAATGTTACTATTGTGTTTAACAGTATTACTTGTGATTACTATTATTAATCATTGTACATTGAAAGAAACAAGTGATTTTTCCCTATGTTGATCAAATTCTTAAGAGAGGATATTGTTTTCTGTGATGCAGTATTCTTTAGTGCTTCCCCAGTATTTCTCATGTACTTAAAGATATTAACTTATTCTCAGCATGTGCAATATTTCTAAGATATCCTGATAAAGAACTTAGTATTTCTGGAATTAGTAGTTTGTTATTTGAAATCTGGGATAGATATCTCACTAGATTCTTGGGAAATTTAACAAGGTCTAAATACTGGTTGACTTAGTACTGGAAATAAATTATTGTTATAGTCATTTCAACTTTTATTTTAGATCCAGGGGATGTATATGTATGTTTGTACCTGAGAATATTGCATAACGCCAAGATTTGGGATACAAACAATCTGTCACCCAGGTAGTATGCATAGTACCCAACAGTTAAGTGCCCCCTCCTCCAGTAGTCCCTGATGTCTGTTGTTGTCATCTTCAGGTCTATGAGTACCCAGTGTTTAGCTCCCACTTATAAGTGAGACAGCATTTGATTTTCTCTTCTTGTCTCACTTTGTTTGTGGTAATGACCTTCAGTTCTATCCATGTTGCTGAATAGGACATGATTTCATTTCTGTTTTTGTGGCTGTGTAGTATCCATGATATATAGGTACCACTTTTTTTTTAATCTAATTAACTGTTTACGGGTACCTAGGTTGATTCTATGTCTTTGCTATTGTGAATAGTGCTGTGATGAATGTATAAATGCATGTGTCATTTTGGTAGAAAAATTTATTTTCTTTTGAATGTATATCTAGTAACAAGATTGCTGGGTCGAATGGTAGTTCTGAGTTATTTGAGAAATCACCAAACTGCTTCCCACGGTGGCTGTACTTTCCCACCAAGAGCATTTAAGCATTCCCTTTTCTTAGCAGCCTCACACGCATCTGTTATTTTTTTGACTTTTTAACAATAGTTGTTCTGAATGGTGTGAGATGGTATCTCATTGTGGCTTTGATTTGCATTTCTCTGATGATTGGTGATGCTGAGCATTTTTTTTTTCATGTGTTTGTTGCCCGCATGTATGTCTTCTTTTGAGAAATGTCTCTTCATGTCTTTTGCCCACTTTTTAATGGAGTTGTGTTTTTGCTTGTTGAATTAAGTTTCTGATAAATTCTGGATATTAGACCTTTGTCAGATGCATAGTTTGCGAATATTTCACCCATCCTGTAGGTTTTCTCTTTATTGTTTATAGTTTATTTGGCTGTGCAGAAACTCATTAGTTTTAATTGTTTTTAAATCTCATAATATTTTTATGGATTTCTGAGAGCAAGTAGTATTTTAATGGCAATTTTTAAAACATGCTACTTTTTTATTTGTAACAATTTATAAGGATGGCATGGTAGTACATTGAGTGTGTATAGGTCTAGATGAATCACCACAACAGAAATATTTCTCATTTTGGTTTTTAAATATGTGTTTGTTTTATAATATGCTTGTTTTCCCAGAATGATCTTCAAAGATGGAAATAATTGAAAGACACTGCTAGACTGAATTGCAGTGATTATCTCTTGTATGAGTGTGTAGCGTACAAAGGCTGGCTATTCCTATGATCATCTCAGAATATTCACTAAATTATTTAAAAATAAAAGATTGAAGTGTAGGCCAGGGGGCAGTGGCTCACGCCTGTAATCCCAGCACTCTGGGAGGCCAAGGTAGGAGGTTCACTTGAGCCCAGAGTTCAAGACCAGCCTGAGCAACATAGTGAGACTCTGCCTCTGTAAAAAATAAAAACTTAGACTGGCATGGTGGTACATGTTTCTAGTCCCAGCTGCTTGGGAGGCTGATGTAGTAGGATCACTTGAGCCCAAGAGTTTGAGTCTGTGGTCGGCTGTGATCATGTCCCTGCCCTCCAGCCTAGGTGGCAGAGCAAGACCCTAGACCCTGTCTCAAAAAATAACTGAAAAACATGAAGTATGAATTGGTTAGTATTCATTTTAGCATGATGTATCTATTACCAGAATATTATTTTGAGATGCTGAAAAATAAGTGTGGTATATGTATATATTACAAAAATTGATTATTACTCTGACTTCTACTTCATCTGTTTTTTTCCCCTAAATATGTAATTTTTTTTTTTTTTTTTACCATGTAAGTAGTTTGGAGATATGTTTATTAAGCCTGTTTTATTTTAAAATGTTCTCTTTTAAAAAAAATCCTTCCAAATATTACTTTGAGAATTTGCTAGTTTTCAGAAAGCTATAGCAATAGAGTTTCTGTTCTCATGGAATTTTGGAGGAATATTTATTAAGCTTCTTTTTGTTAAAAAGTGGTAGCCTCATTCATTTATTTGTTCATTCAGGCAATCAAATGTTAATTGAGAACTTGTTAAGTAGTAGACATCTGTGAGCGATAGACAAAGTCATTGTCCTTTTGGAACTATGTTCTGGTCCAGGAGGTAGATTAAAAAAAAAAAATACAGATAGAAAATAGGGCTGGGCACAGTGGATCATGCTTGTAATTCATGCCTGTAATCCCAGTTTCTTCTGGATACTGAGTCATGAGAATCACTTGAGCCTGGGAAGGGAAGGTTGTAGTGAGCTGAGATGACACCACTGCACTCCAACCTGGGCAATAGAGTAAGAACTATCTCAGAAAACAGAAAAATTTTGTTTGTAAATTCTATAGAGAAAATAAAATGGGTGATGGGGATGGATGAAGGGGAGGGAAGGCCTTTTTGAGAAGGTGAGATTTGAGCCAAGATCTAAGTGATAAGAAGGAGCTATCATGTAAAGATTTGAGGAGAAAACTGTTACTAGATTAGCCTAGGGAACAATTAATGGGAAAGCAGGAATTAACTTGGCATGTTTTGGGGGGCAGAAAGTAGCCCAGAATGGCTGATGTTTAGTGAAGGAGGGAGAGAATCAAATCAAGTTCTTAGGGAGGAATTTCGATTTAATTCTAAATGCAATGGCAAACACATTGGAAGAGTTTAATCAGGTTATTGTATGATGGTATTAATACTCTGAATAGTTTACTCTGATAGCTCTATGCAAAAAGGCAAGGGTAGAATCAGGGACACTAGTTTGGAAGCTATTTGATGGTGCCTTGGATTAGAGTTGTGGCAGATGGAGTAAAAAGTAGTAAGAGCGAAATTCTGTCTCAAAAAAATAAAATAAAATAAAATAAAGTAGGCAGAGCTGATAGGGTTTGTTGATGGGAGATGAAAGAGCTGATGGAAAAAAGTCACCATGAGTGATTCCAAGGATTTTGGTTTCAAAAATTGGATAGATGATGGTATGAGTAATTGAGATGTCAAAGCCTAGAGAGAAGTGTGATTTTTGATGGGTTACTGGTAGGGCATAACCTATCTTGGGTATCTTAAATTTGATGTAACAGTACAGGGGAAGAGAGAGAAAGAGGACAGAGAGACAGGGAAGAAATGAGAACATAGGCAGATCCAAAGAAAATCTTTCTACATAGGTGTGTGTGTGTGTATGTGTGTGTGTGTGTGTGTGTGTGTGTGTGTAAAATCAGTATTTTATTGAACAAGTACTATTTAAAACTTTGGGATTGAATGAAATCCCTGAAAGATTGTAGATGGAGAAGAGCACATATCTGAGAATCATGTCTTGGGATACTCTAGCATGTAGAGGTCTGATAGAGGAGAAGTGGGAACAACTAACGAGATAAGAGGAAACCCAGGAAGTGTGATGATTTGGAAGCCTAGACAAAAAATGTTGTAGAAAGGGAGCAGTCAGCTGCTGTGAATTTCTGAGAGCTTGAACAAGGTTAAGACAGAACTAGCAATAGAATTTGGCAACTTGTAGATTTCTGGTAACCTTGATAAGATCTGTTTTGGTGGAGTATTGGTGAAAACCTATTGAAACTGAGTTGTGGAGAGAATATGATGTAAGAAAATAGTTATAAGTAATGGCAGTTTATTCTTGGCAGTTTATGGTGAATACACCACAAAACCAGCAGAAAAGTAGAAATCTTGGGTTCAGAGATGATTCTATTGGACTGAACTGTATTATTGTATACTTGTATGCTGATAGGAATGCTTATTGGTTCTAATATTCATTTAAAATATGACAACGTGTCTATACTTTAATTACTAATGGAATACTGTGCTTTGAAAACATCTATGCCAATTGGATATAGAAACTGAATTTTAAAGAATGTCATTCTAAATAATTAAATGTCTGCACTAACAGAAGCCTAAATAATAAAATTTAAGCTTGATCTTTCTGAAAATATTTTTCCAATTTTATGAAAATTTCCTCATGTTGTAAGCCTAGGGAGTTAAAGAATAAGCTGTGGACTATTGTTTTAATATGGGAGTGATGAGGCAAAGAGGGTATCATGGAGGATCACTCATAGTTTTTTGGTATTAAAATATACAAACAGAAAATTTATTGTTTTTTAGCATGTTAAAACATAAAATTCAGTGGCATTAAGTACACTTACAATGTTGTACAACCATCCTCAGTATTTAGGTCCAGAACTTTTCCATTACCCCAAATGGAAACCCCATATCCATTAAGCAGTCAGTTCATAACCAGTCATAACCTGTCAGGCTTCTTTTGTGAGGGAAAGATTGGAGCAGGAGACCAGTTACAGGCTTTTACAACAGTGTGGGTAAAACATATTGGTTGCTTGGATTAGGATAGTGACAGTAAAAGTTAAAATTACATATGTATATGTTTTCTTTTAATTTAACTTTTTAAAGTTAAATTAAAAGTTCGGTGCCTTGTAAATTTGTAAAGCTAATGTAAGCTGTTATGTTTTCCTAGGTGTTCTTCAGATGATGCAGACGAGAATTGGGGCTTTACAGGGAGCTGTTGATAGGTACTGTTCTTAATTGTACAAATAAATGGAATGGGAAGATTTTTATCTGTTGATATTTTGAAAATGATTTTCTTCTCACTCCTCTCCTTTTTTCCTTTAGGATAAAAGCAAAAATTGTTGATCCATACAATAAGATAGTTGCCCGTACTGCACAACTAGCAAGACTTCAGGTAGTTTCTTACTTTTATTTCTTTATACTTTATTATTCATTTTGTTTTCTAAGTGGGCAAAATTTAAGAGTATGAGTTTTGAAGAAGTATGGGAATGCAAACAGAAGGTAAGAGAAGAGAGGAAAAATACTAAAAAGCTTTAAGATGTCTAGCTCAAAAAATAAAAACCTAAAGTAAATTCTTACCACTGTCATTGCAGTATATAATTGTTTACTAACTTATGTCTTCTTCAACTTCCTTCATCAATATTTTATAGCTTTCAGTGTATAGATGCTTCACCTCCCTGGTTAAATTTATTTCCAACTTTTTTTTTTTTTTCTGTAGCTATTGTAAATGGGAAATGGTATTGTTTTCCAGATTATTTCTTTGGATAGTTTGCTGTTAGTGTTTAGAAATGCTGCTGATTTTTGTATGTTGATTTTGTATCCTCTGACTTTATGCATTTATTCCAGCACTCTTGGCAGTGTCTTTAGGGTCCTTTATCTAATTTTCTATGTAAAGGATCATGCTGTCTGCAAACAGGGACAATTTTACTTCCTTTTAGGTTTGGATGCCTTTTATTTCTCTCTTGCCTGATGGCTCTGGTCAGGACTTCCAGTGCTATGTTGAACAGTGATGGTGAGAGTGCACATCCTTGTCTTGTTCCTGATATAAGATGACAAGCTTTCAACTTTTTACTGTTGATTATGATGTTAGTTGTGGGCTTGTCATATATGGCCTTTATTGTGTTGAGGTACATTCCTTCTATAGCAGTTTTTTTGAGTTTTTAACATGATGTGCTGTTTAATTTTATCAAGTACCTTTTCTGCATCTATCCAAGTGATCATATGGCTTTTGTCTTTCTTTCTGTTAATGTGGTGTATCATTTGATTTGCACATGTTGAAACATCCTTGTTACCACAGATAAATCTCACTTGATCATGGTGAGTGATTCTTCTAATGTGGTATTGAATTCGATTGGCTAGTATTTTGTTGAGGATTTTGTATCTTTGTTGATCAGGATTATTGACTTGGAATTTTCTTTTCAGTGTCGTTGTCTGGCATTGAGAGAAGTGTAACACTGGCCTAATAAAATGAGTTTAGATGTATTTTTCCATCTTTGATTTTTTTAGAGAGAGTTCTAGAAGAATTGGTATTTTCGTTTAAATGTTTGGAAGAATTCAACAGTAAAGCCATCAAGTTCTGGGCTTTCCTTTGTTGGGAGACCTTTTATTACTGATTTAATCTCTGTACTCATTATTGATCTGTTCAGATTTTGTTTCTTTATGGTTCAATTTTTGTAAGTTGTATATGTCTAGAAATGTATGTTTCTTCTAAGTTATCCAATTTGTTGGCATATAATTATTCGTAGTAATTTCTTATAATTCTTTATATTTTTGTAATACCAGTTAAAATGTTTCCTTTTTCATTTCTGGTTTTATTTGAGACATCTTTTTCCTTAGACTAGCTAAAGCTTTATTGAATTTATTTATCTTTTCAAAAAACTAACTCTTATAGCCGGGCGTGGTGACATGTCTGTAGTCCCAGATACTTGAGAGGCTGAGGCAGAAGAATTGCTTGAGTCTGGGAGGTGGAAGTTGTAGTGAGCTGAAATCGTGCCACTGAAGTCCAGCCTGGGCAACAGAGTGGGACCTTGTCTCAAAGAAAATACCAAAAACCAAAAAACAAACCAAAAACACACAACTCTTAGTTTTATTAATCTTTATTGTTTTCCTAGTCTATATTTAATTTATTTCTGCCCTGATCTTTATCATTTTCTTCCTTCTACTAACTTCGGGCTTTGTTTTTTTTCTAGTTCTTGAGGTTTAATGTTAGGTTATTTATTTGAAATCTTTTTTGATGTAGACATTTATTGCTGTAAACTTTCTTCTTTGAACTGCTTTTGCCGCATCCCATAACTTTTGGTATGTTGTATGTCTTTTCATTTGTCTCAAGATATTTTAAAATTTCTAATTTCTTTTTTGTCCATTGGTTGCTCATGAGCATGGTTTATTTTTTTGAGAATTTTTTGGTGGATTTTTCGAAATCCATCCTGTTATTGATTTCTAGTTTAATACCATTGTGGTTGGAAAAGATATTTGATATGATCTCAGTCTTCTTAAGTTTATTAAATCTTATTTTGTGGTCTAACATATGGTCTATCCTGAAAAAAGTTCCATGTGCATTTGAAAGAGTATGTATTCTGCCGCTATTGGGTGGAATGTTCTATATTTCGGTTTATTTGGTCTAGAGTGTAATTAAAGTCTGTTGTTTCAGTATTGATTTGTTTTCTTTCTTTCTTTCTTTCTTGAGATGGAATCTTACTCTGTCACCCAGGCTAGAGTGCAGTGGCCTGATCTCTTCTCACTGCAACCCCCGCCTCCCAGGTTCAGGCTATTCTCCTGCCTCAGCCTCCTGAGTGGCTGGGATTACAGGCACCTGCCACCATGCCTGACTAATTTTTGTTATTTTAGTAGATGGCGATTTTCCATGTTGTCCAGGCTGGTCTTGAACTCCTGACCTCAGGTGATCTGTTCACCTTGGCATCCCCAAGTGCTGGGATTACAGATGTGAGCCACTGTAGCCGGCAGTTTTCTTTCAGCACTTTGAATAGATCATCCCTGTCTCTCCTGACTTATAGGATTTATACTGGGAAATCTGTTCATAGCCATCTTGGAATTCCTTTTTATGTGATATGCTTTTCTCTTGCTGCTTTCAAGATCCTTTCTGTTTTTGATTTTTAACAATTCGATGTAATATATCTTAGTGTAGTCTTCTTTGCCATGAACCTGATTGGAGATCTTTGAGCTTCCTATACCTGGATATTTTTTATCTTTCCACAGATTTGGGGAGTTTTTGTTACTATTTTTTACACTTGATCTTAGCCAAAAGGCCGAGAAGCGATTACTATTTTTTAAAATAAAGTTTCTTCTCTCTCTGCTCCTTCTGGGATACTCACAATATATGAGTTGGTTTATTTGATGGTATTACATAATTCTCACAGGCTTTCTTCACTCTTTTTTTTTTTTTTTTTTTGAGACGGAGTTTCGCTCTTATTACCCAGGCTGGAGTGCAATGGCGCAATCTCAGTTCACCGCAACCTCCGCCTCCTGGGTTCAGGCAATTCTCTTGTCTCAGCCTCCTGAGTAGCTAGGATTACAGGCACGCACCACCGTGCCCAGCTGATTTTTTTGTATTTTTAGTAGAGATGGGGTTTCACCATGTTGACCAGGATGGTCTCGATCTCTTGACCTCGTGATCCACCCGCCTCGGCCTCCCAAAGTGCTGGGATTACAGGCGTGAGCCACCGCGCCCAGCCCCACTCTTTTTCTTTTTTCTTTTTGTTCCTCTGACTGGATCATTTCAAGTAACCCCTTTTCAAGCTCACTGATTCTTTTGTTTGTTGAGTCTATTGTTGAAGCTCTCTGGAATTTTTTTAGTTCAGTCATTGTGTTCTATAGCTCTATAATTCAGTTTGGTTCTTTCTTTTATGGTTTCTGTTTTTTTGTTGAACTTCCTATTTTGTTTATTGTTTTCCTGATTTTGTATACTTGTCTAGTTGTATTTCCTTGTAGTTCATGGAGTTTTAAAAAAATGATTATTTTGAGTTATTTGTCAGGCAACTCATAAACCTCAATTTTTTTTAATGTTGGTTTTTTTTAATGTTGGTTTTTTTAATGTTGGTTTAATGTGATATGTTTTCCTGATAGTGATTCTTGTCGCCTTGTGTTGGGGCCAGCACATTTGAAGAAGTAGGAACTTATTCCACTCTTTTCAGACTGGCTCTGGCTGGGAAAGTTCTATACCAGCTAACTTGACCAGAGATTTGGCTAGCTTTCTGGTGTGGTCTGTGGGCAGGCTTACTGCTGGTGTCTTCAGGCAGGCTGTCGTACCTAGGTCAGCAGGTGCACAGGAGGGTCCATGAGGTTTGGTCTGCAGACTATATTTACTGGGGCAAATGTGGGTCATGAGTTGGCTGGACCAGACTTAGATCCAGGGTCCACAGTGCCACCTGGCCCCCTGTGGAGTTAGACCCATTGACTAGTAGGGCCCTAGTCCACAAGAGCTGGTCTGAAGCCTGGTTCCTCAGGAGTTGACCTGGCACTGGGACTGGCCTTGAACTTGAATTTGCAGCAGTCAGTTGCTGGAATGGGCCTGGCACCTGGGACCATGGGGATGGGCCTGGAGCCTGAGTCCACAATGCGTGGCTTGGCACTGGGGTGGGCCTGAAGCCTCTGAGTCAGGCCTGGGTCCTGGGTTTACCAGAGTTAGCCTAGAGTTTGGGTTTGGAAGGGTGGTCCTGGAGCCTTGGTTTGCTCAAGTAAGCCTGGACTCTGGGTCCACTGAAGGCTGGGGTCTGTGGGTGCTTGCTTTGTGCCTAGAGCCATGAGGGTCTATATGGAGGCTGGGTGAGTGAGTGCTGGCCTGGAGGCTGGGTCCACAAGGGCTTGCCTGGAGGCTGGACCACTGAGGCAGGTATGAGTCATTTGGGCTTGGGGGCTGGCCTGGCACTAGGTTCTGCTGGGATGAGCCTGGATCTTGAGTTTGCCAGAGGAGGCTGGGTTCAGCTGGAATGGGTCTGGACCCTGGGTCTGCCAGAGGAGCCTGGACTTTGTGTCTGCTGGAGTGTGGGGCTGCAGGGGCTAACTTGGAATGTAGACTCCTAGGGCAGGCCTAGAGCCTGGGTCTGTGGGTGCTGGTCTGGTGTCTGAGGCCACAGGTGCCAACCTGATGCTGGGTCAGGCCTGGTGTTTGGGGCAATGTGGGCTCGTCTGGAGCATGATGCTTCAGGGGCTGGCCTGATACTGGAAGTCTGTGTGCTAATATTAACTAGGGCTACCCTAAAGTCGAGCTATGTTGGGTTACTTGGTGCTGAGTTGGGCCTAGAGCTGCAGGGGCCAACGTGGAGCCTGAGTTGGGATGAGCCTGAAGCTGACAGTTGGTCTGGGGCCTTGGGTCACTGGGGGCAGCCTGGTAGTGGACTAGGCCAGGTAATGTAGTCTGGAAGTACTGGCCTGAAA